CAATCTACATCTTTCGCTCTTTCGATGGTCTGACTTAGGTTGAGACGTAAGTTTTCATTCACTGGAAGCCAGGTTTGAGTGCGCTGTTCAGGGCACGCGCTCAGATTGAGCTCACACTTGTAGACACTCGTCTTAATTAAAATAAAAAAGCACGTTAAAAAAAAAAGAGCATTTGTCGAAGCTTGCGACCAGAAGCGTCGTTGTGGTCGGCCTTCCGCGATTGGCCAAGCGTTCACTGTGACGTCACGATTACGCGACGAATCCTATACTTTTGTCAACGGAAGTAAGAGGTATGCAGGTCGTTGAACGTTGACGCTTTAATTAATACGAGCTTTCACTGCGCCTTCTGAACACGCCGTCGTAATTGTCGCTGGCAGTCGACGTCAGAGACGCCAAAAACCACCTTTCCCCGTCGTTGAAAGACGGGGAAAGCCAGGCTTTTCCTCGGTCAAGGTCATCACTGTACACTGACCAACACCTTCTATACATAAGAAAGCCCAAGGGCCAAGGGCCCAAGGGTGTAAGCCGCAGATTGGACTCGACCGTGGCGTCACTGTTCGGCTAAAATCCGCGTTCTCATCTGATTGGACGGGAGTCCCAGCCGAGCGCTCGCGCCGTAGTCGTGTCCAATCTCTGGCCACAGGTGGCCTTCTCTGGTGAGCAAAGGTTGGCATTGCGCATGCGCGGAGCCGACATTGCAGCTCCACCGCACTGGCGTGACGTCAGAGAGTTGGGGGCGTGGCTTGTTACGAAGACTGTCATCGCTTCTTCGTGAATCGTCCTTAGGCGCCCTTATTGGAGAATGCTGCGACCTCATTGGCCGAGGAGCGCTAATGAGATGATCGGGACTGATCACGCCCGCTGTACACGGCTTTGCCCGGGACGTCATCCCACCGCAGCGACGGTTGCTCCTACCTGTTGGGGACTTTTAGCAAACCGTTACCGCGTACCGCTCTACCGTAGCCTTTGAAGCGTGCGCTTAAAAGCATGCCTCAAAGGTACGCGGAACAAGGTAGCGGTTTGCTAAAAGTCCCCATTCGTGCCGGAAAACAAGTTCGGTGCCCTCGAGAGATACGCGACGGAACTATGAGGCCCGTTCACACAGTGCAGTTTTCATGCATAACGTACGGGAGATCTCCTGTACGGTGCAAATCGAGCAGGCCATCAATAAAAAACTAATTTTGCGCATGTCTTTTTTTTTTTTTTTTTTTTTTTTTTTTAATTTTTGGCGTGGGCTTTAGTATTAGAAAAATGTAGCTCCAAGCAAATCTTGAAAGGAAACCCGACGTTTCAAAACCAGCTTGTTTTCTGCTTCGAGGGTAGCTCTAGGCGCGTGGAGCAGCAGCAACTCCTCCTGTACACAAAGGGCAAGGCGCCCATGGGGACCTGTTCAGGTTTCCTGGCTTGTGCTCGATTTGCCTCGACCCCAGAAAAGGCTTCTTCGGATATTTGGCTCTGTGTCAATCAGGTGCGCGTTCCCCAAATCGATGCGATGGTCTACGGCAGGGGTTCCCAAACTCTTTGACTAACGGGCCGAATTAAAAAAAAAATTCGCAGGCACAAAGAAACAAAACAAACAACAGCAAAGTAATGAAAAACGAATAAAATCAAATAAATTAACCTAGATAAGCATTTAAGCAGAAAAATGAATGCTAGAGTAAGTGTTAAAAGCCCTAAAGTGGATAAGCACGCATACTTCCATTTTAAAAGAGATATCTGATTATGACTGCACTACAATCGTGAACGAAAAAGCTCCCTGGAGCTAAATCAAAGCTCGTGGGAACTTTGGCACGCTCGCGCAGTGCAGAAGACTAATGAAAGGATAAAACTGACGCCGACATTAGTGAGCACAATGCACATGAGAACACGAGGGAATTTAACATAGTTACGCATGGCATGAAGCGAAAGACTAAGAATGGTGACTGGTAATGATAACGTTCAATAAAAAAATAAAAAAAAATAACGACGAGACGACCCGTGTTAGGATGTAGTTCTTTGTCGTTCTCTCTGGTATCTTTGTTTTGCCCATTTGAAGCGCGTCGCTGCGCAGTTTCTTTTTTTACGCGCACTTTTTGCGTCGCTAGCAGCGAGTCTGCTTGAAGCGGGCCGCGGGTCGGTCAGGAAACTTCCGGAGGCCGAGTATGGCCCTCGGGCCGGGGTTCGGAGACCCTTTCCTTGTCTAGGGTGTCGCAATGTTCGCCGATGGCGCTGCGCTCACCGTCGAACTTCCGCGCGATCGTTCCTGTGTTGACGGACTCGCTCGGGAAAGTTCTCCGTCTCGTCGATGTATGCGCGCATGGCCTCCGTGACCGGACGAGAAAGCTGAAGAGATGACCGTCTCCATAACTAAAATGTTTCAATTACCATAATTTTTTTTTTTTTTTTTTTGAAGGCGAAGAGGTTGGGAGCTGCTGTTGCTCCGCGTCGTTTCAGTCACCCTTGAAGAAGACACCGAGCTACTTTCGAAACGTCGGGTTTCCTTTCGAGATTTGGTTGCAGCTACTTTTTTTTTAAACTAATTTTCATTAGATCAGGCAGATTTCTGCCGAATATGTTTAGTTTCAAGTTTTTCCCAGTGTTCATTTCACACCATCATGCTTCTCGTTACACGTCGTGATCAAGCTGTATGCGGCTGCAATATTGCCCCATATTACATCTGACGTCACGTTTTCAGTGTTCATCACTACAGCCCCTCAGACCAAATTTAAAACTCCTATAGCTTCTAAAAATATATATATTTTGACTTACAATATGGGTTACTCGTTGAAATGTGTCTCATGAACATGCGTTGAACCAAGTTTGGGGCAAAGCAGTGACTATCGAAGTTTCGCCGTTATTACCTCTCACGTCCAGAAATCAGTTAAAGGGGCCCTGCAAGCACTTTTTTACTGGTTCTTAATTTGCACCAAACCTGAGCGCACTGACCGTAGTAACTTAACGTAAATTTTCTTTTTTCGAATTTCGCTTTATTTTAGAAGTTATAGCCTAATTAAAATTACAAAAACAAGCAAAAAATAACCTCCCTCATGACGTCGTTGGTTGCTTGAGTGGCCGTGAACTAGAGGAGGGATAGTGAGCTCAGCGAGTGCTCATGGCCGCCGCACTCTGTGTCGACGGCGCCAGAGGGCGCCACTAAAGCAAGTTCTGGATAGGCTTATACAGCGGGCAGCCAGAGCGGCTCTCATTGCATTTGCTGCGTGATTAAACACTAATTCGGCATGACACTTCATTGGCCACAAACGACAGCAAACACGGGGTAAAGATCAGTTCAGAATGGGAGTCACTTCGTGCTGCCGTACCGCGAAATGGCCAAAACGCAAGACAAAGCTACTCGCCGAAGGCCTTCGGAACGCTCGGAGCCGGTCGGATCCTCCAGTCCGTAATAGCCGATTCACACGACGGACTGATCCGCGGACGGATTGATCACGTGACGACATATCCGCGGTTCGTCCGTCTCCCAAGCGCATCCACACGAGGGAGACGACGAGCAGACGCCAGTGAGGACGGACCGAACCTGTTCGCAGCCCACAGTGCCGCGAAACTCCAACATCGCACAGTAGCACCGTTGTCCAAGAGAGAAATCGACGGTTTCTACCGCGATAAAGAATCGTACGCCGCTGCTACGTACAGATCGAGAACAAAACACCGGGACAGGCTTCGCGCGAAGCGCCACTAACTTTACTAACCCAAAGCATGACAGTGACACAGGCATGATCCTGCCCGAGAAAGCTTCGGCGTAGACGCGACGAACTTCTGGGCTCGCGGAGGGGCGTTTGGAGATGCCTTCACGCACTCCGCGCTCGTGCACAACACTCAAGCTCACCACATCCACAAGAGAGGGCTTGCTCGGTGAAATCCTGATTGGACGTGCAAGAATTATCGCGGCGTGCTAAACCGAGTTTTGACGGGAGCTTCTTGACACGGACCCGGAGGAGCACCGGAACCTGCATCGCGTCAGCCGGACAAAGTTTCTGGAGTTTCTCTCACGCGTGGAACCAAGAATCGTACGACAAAATGAACCAACAAACGCACAAAACGCAACGACGCGCCATTTTTGTTTTGAACGACCAGAAGCAAAATACCAAGAAAACCATGTACCGTTGCCAGACTAAATGCTTTCCAAGTCAGTCTGCCGCCAAACGTCCGCGAGTGAAAAAGGCGCTCGACTTTATCAGTCCGCGCCTCCGCGGAGGAGGCGCGGATCGCAGGAATCGGTGACGTGCCGGTCACGTGGTACACGGTCCGCGGACGAAAATCGCGATTTGGTCCGTCGTGTGAATCGGCTATAAACGACCGCAGCGTCGCCGCGTACATCCGGGACCTTTGCGTGTCGGCTCCTGGTACCACTACTCTTTTCTAGTATGCGCCGCCTTTTCCACCGCTTGGTGGCGGGTACGTCGACGCGTCATTTCTTGTTTCCGTACTTTATAAACTGCATTTCTTTCTTTTCTGATCTAAAATACCGAACAAAAACTATGTTTATAAATAATTGAAACGGTTCGCGCCACTTATATTTTGTAATTCGACTAAAAAAAAAAGCTTTGAGCGGCTCTGACCAGTAGTAAGCCAAGGACCAAAGACGTCACATTTTGCGCGCTTTCGGTACTGCGGGTCGCCCTCGTCGGCGGAGGAGGTTTCCGCGTCGTCCAAGTTAAAATATGACGCACTGATATTTAGTTACTCGCTCCGTGCCCGCTGGCTTGCCCGAACCCCAAGAGACGTGGAAACCGCAAAAAAGGTCGACGCTTATTTATGATTGCAGGGCCCCTTTAAGCATGAATCAACAAAATCTGCCGATGACAATCGCACGTTTGTATTTTGAACGGATGGCTATACTTTTCTTTCCAAGCGGCCGATTATGTTTCGGTGTCTTTTCAACAAAAAAAAAAAAAAAGTGGGTGTGTCTGTGGTGTGACCAAAAGGTGGTTGACGGTAAGACAATGAAATGGGCGCTAGAATTTCGTTGCAAAGCTCTTGAATAGCTTCGTCTTTCCTTGCAGTGGAGCTCCTACACATGCTGGAGTTCAACTCGACCATCAATTTCCCGGCGGGTCCCCTGCTCACGGTCATCCTGGCTCTAGTCGGTAAGATACAAAGAACGCCTTTCTCCTCCGTTCACTGTCGCAGCCGCCGCCAGGTTGGCGCTCGTTTCGCCTTATCGAGTTTTCGAGTTCTCGGATCTCTTTGCTGCACGCGTCTTCGCGGGCTCTGCTACCCTTTTCGAGTCGACGTTTACGTGTGACTGTCCGCTCCGCGTTCCTTTCTTTTTTTCTTTTTTTAAGATATATTTTTATTTGTCCTTGCTTGAATCGAGCGTCGTCTCAATCTCGTTTGCGTATTAGTTTTCAAATGAGGTTTCGTTCCGTCCCGTTTCACCTTTTGAGCGGCCGCCCTCCGCTTGCGCGTTCGAGAAAAGTCGTCTGCTAACATTTTGTTTGATCTTCTTTCTTCGTCTGCTTTCACTTCTGCCTTTGCCGCTCACTTGGTACCCACGAATGAAGGGAATATTAAATAAATAACAGACGCACAGACGGAAGCACGAACTTAGAAAACACCACGCAGAAAAAAGAAAGTGTAAAAAAAAGAAGAGGATGTAAAGGCAATCAACAAAAATCCGAAGCGTCCATGAATGTTTAAGGAGTAAGCCAAACACGCTGCCTTTTCTTTTTTGTTCATATCTGCATTTTATTTTTATTGTTTTTATTTCTCGCGCAAGTTCCCGTAACCTGCTTTGCGTATCGCGCGCAGGTAGTTAATTCGGCGCTCCATTTCTTCTTTTTGATGCAAAGTGTCTTTGACCAATTTCCGCCGTTTTCGTCGCGGCCCTTTGACTGCGTGCATGCATTCCTTTTCAGTTTCTTCAATATATTTTTTTTTGTTCATTTTACCTCATTCGAATTCGTTTTACTCCTACCATTTTTACTTGTGTTCGGTTGTAATTTGTTTCCATCAATTTCCTTTTTTTTAGGCATCGTTTGAAACGTATACGCTTTTGTCGAAGCCGCTTTTTGCGGGGAATAAAAAAAAGAAAAACGAGGCATCGGTTGCGTACGAATACGCGGCGGCTGAGGCGCTGGCTTGATCCCATTTACCGGTTGCTCCCATTTGAATTGGCTTTACCCGTCCCGCTGAAATGGATACTAAAAATAATATATATATATATATATATATATATATATATATATATATATATATATATATATATATATATATTATTTTTACCGATACTATTGTTGTTATATATCTCGATTAATATCGCTATTCAGTCGGTAAATCCCTCTAAGGTCTTAGGTGCGCGTTTCTGACCGCTTGGTTCGCGCCAGTACCCATCCGCCTCCCAACCTTTTTTTATATATGTATATATACAGTTTTGGTAAGATATTTTGAAAAATCAAATGTTGCGTTATTTTCTTCTGATTCCTGGCATTCATCCTTCGTTAGAAATCGGAAGCGCTTTCTGCCATGCTGGGTTTTAATGCCGTCTGACAACGGCTTCGCATAATTTCAGGAGAATGCTTGACAACGATGTTTCTTTTTTTTTTTTTTACAGCTCTTATTTGCGTACGCCGCCATTTTTTTTAGCATTTTTGTTTTATTTTATAGCGTCGCTATTCTCACCTTCCTTTGTTTATCTCTAGCTGTTTTTCTTTTGGCAATTAAGACTTTTTAAATACTCCTCGTTGTAACATTGTCACCTTGGATTCCCATGTTCATGCGTTCCATTTCAACATCATGTTCAGTACCCTTTCGATTAAAAAAAAAGTGTGCCAGTCCTCACAATTGCTATTATTATTATTATCATTACACGAAAGTTTTTTAACTTTGTACTCATGATTTCTTGATTGACGATGTTTACTTTTATGGAAAGTGCGAAATCTTGCCGATTTTTCACCGAACCGATTCTTACGGTTCCTTCAAAACGCTCATGGTCCACTCAAAGGGACGCTGGCAGGGTATTTATGCTCGCCGAGATCTTTAGTTGTACATGACATACGGGAGCCCAACTACCCAGAACCGAATTGGCGGCTCGAAATTCGGTTTCTTTGTGCCTGAAAAAGCGCCGATCGAGAACTGGCCGGTTTGAGTCGCGCTCACTCTATACTTCGCGGTCCCGTGCCTATTTCTATGGTTTAGACAAGACTTGGGAAGTAATCTGTTACATGGAACGGGTTACTTTTAATCCGTCACCTTTTCAAGTAATTTTGTAATTGCTACGTTACTTTTTTACGGCAGTAGTTTGTAATGTAATTTCGTTACGAGATATTGGTAACGGATTACTTTAATTACTCGTTACTTTTTTTTTGTTTGAATATGAATATAATAAAGAAACTGGAGCACTATGAGCAGGCAATTCAGAAACACAGCGTCGGATTGGGGGCACTTCGCGTGCGCGGAAACCGGATTAGGGAGAAACCTCTGCGTGCGCGCGGACGGCAGCGCCACCGAACCGGCGTAGCGTCGATGGGTTAGGCTAGAGTTCCTCGATATGCTCCCCCGAAGGGGGAGCAGAGTTGCGAATTTGTTTTCCCCGCGCCGCCACGCCGCTATTCACCATATCCGTCACGTGAGGAGCAAAGCATCCGGCGCCGTGCAAGAAAGCCACCTTTACGGTCGCTCCGCCGACGTTGCTCGCGCCCCGGCGTATGTTCCCCTGCTTTCGCCCTCCTTCTCCTCCTCTCCTGTTTTCCATGCGCGGCGGGCGCCGCTATTCCTCAAACTTAGTCACGTGAGGAGCAGAGCATCCAGGGCCTGCAGGAAAGCCGGCGCTACGGCCACACGCCGTAGCGCCGGCTACCGTAGGTAGCTATATACAGGAACTCTAGGTTAGGCTGGTCAATTTTTTTTTTTTTTCGGGTTAAGTTTTGCTTATGTGTGTGAACCGGGCTTTGGGCCAGGCATGGAGACCATCATGTCGGAGTTCTTCAACGACACCACGACGGCCTTCTACATCATCCTCATCGTGTGGGTGGCCGACCAGTACGACGCCATCTGCTGCCACACCGCCATCACCAAGCGGCACTGGCTCAGGTGAGCTCTGGCGTCGTGCAGGCGACGTGCGTCGTAGGCTTTTTAGAGCGCAGCTCTTAGGCGCCCGTTTCCGGCTTGAGCGGCGTCGCCGTCGGCGTAACCGCGCGTTGCATTATGGGACGTTTCCCATAATGACGTCACACTTCACTAGGGTTACCCCTACGAGGGTCACCCTCACGAGGGTTACGCTCACGAGCGTCGCGATAGTTACCCTCGCGAGGGTCATGAGGGTTAACGTCACGAAGGTTACTCTCACGAAGGTCACGAGAGTTACCCTGACGAAGGTCACGAGAGTTACCCTGACGAAGGTCACGAGGGTAACGTCGCGACGTTACCCTCGTGACGTCACACGTGACGTCATTATAGGAAACGGGTGACGTATTACCTCACGTGTGACGTCACATGACGTCACTATCTAGCATTGCCAATATTCCCGCTAAATTTAGCGGGGAAATTTGTCCGCTAAATATGGCAAAAATATTCCCGCTGAATTTACCCTCGTGACGCCACGTGTGACGTCACATGGGTAACTTTCCCCCTAAATTTAGCGGAAAACTTTCCCGACTAAATTTAGCAGGGAAGGAAGAGGAGCAAACCCTCCCCTCCCCCTCCTGAAGAGTTGCGCTCTAATGCGGCGACGGAAAATTGTAAACGTCTTTAATTTTTATTCCTTAGTGTTCCTTTCCCGAATGCGGATAGCCCTTATTAGGCAGGTTTAGGAGATTGTTCCAATAATGTCGGTAACCACACCCAGTAACAATAACAGAGCGTTTTAGTATAACGTTCCGACACCTCCGATAACGATACGACGCCCGCGCAAGGGCGTGGGCGGAGTACCGGGTTTCGATATCGGAGTCGTCAAAACGATCTACTGGTTGTTTCGACGCTGGAGCGATAGGCGGCACGCCGCAGAACCCCAAAACATCACTCATACAGCGGTATCTCTAGCGGATGGCCGTATTTCGTGGAAAAGAAATACGCGATTGAACACGGCCGACGAGGCATGTGACGTCACGATTCTCGTTCCCTCTCCTCTTCGCTTCGTCCCCTCGAGCAGGTGAACCGAAGCGAGGAGGAGAGAAGCGAGGCCGCTTCCCCCTCATTCTCAACTGCTCCAGGAGGATCGTGACGTCAAAGTCCTCGCTTGATAGCGCCCTTCTTTTCCAGAAATGCAGCCTTTTGTTTGAGATGCCGATGTACGAGCGATGTTTTGGAGTTACTAGCATCCCGTTCAACGCTTCTGTGGCCTTATTTTGCAAAATACGAATTTCGGTTCGGTACCTCTTTAAATCGTCGCCAGCGATATGGGTCCACCGGGACCATTGACTGGGACCACCGATGTCCGCGTCTATGCCCCCGCCGTCCTGAAGCGGTCCGAATTCGTGGGACCTTTCCCTCTGGATTATTATATTAGCTCTGTGCGCTTAGCAGAGTGCCGCAATGGTCCGCCATTTTATTTCCAGCGGCGCAAGCGCATCTTCGCTGTGCCGTCTGCTTGCCGGAAGTTTTGCGACTGAAGCTCTGAACCGTCACTCATGTTAGAGGGAAAGAGAGAGAGAAAGAAACAAACGAAACAAACAAATGGTTGTTTATTACCCAACTTGTACACGCAACTTCCAAAGGTTTGAGATGCTCACAGCTCGTCGTCAACACTAAGCGAATAATATATGTTCCGTCCAAAGTTTCGGTATACCCTGCAAGTCCGCTTCTCCGCAGGGTTTTCGGGCAGTTTTTGCGTATGTGACTGCACGTCCGCCCATAAACATGTATTTAATAAAAAAAAAAACATAAAAAAACACACACACACGCAGCACGATGGTTTCTTTTTTTATTATTATGAGTTTATCTAGAAGTGGGCTTTTGGTTGCGCCATCTAGGAGTGGATAGCAGAGCCCAGCAAAATCAATATGCTTGCTTTCCCCCCAAGAAAAAAAAAAAAAAAAAAGGGAGGGGGGAGTGTTTTATAAAAAAAAAAGCTTAAAAGAAAACACAGAAAGAATGAACACAAAGTGGACGAGGACAGACGAGTACGTATAAAAAGCCTCATTAATTCGTTAATGCTTGGTTACGCTATTAGACCAGTGCGGTGTATGCTTCCGGTAATTCCAGCAAAAAAAAAAAAAGGCTTATTATTGATGTATTTTAGTTTATTAGGAAGGGAGAGTGGGTTTCTACCCTTTACAGCGTTCGTTTTAGTTGGCTATTCTTGCGTGTTTGTTTTGTGCTTTTTGTCGCTGCACTTTGCGTTGCACTAGAAGTCCATGGACTTCTAGTGCAACGCAGAACTCGACTACTTGCAAGTAGTCGAGTTCCCCACGGGACAGATGGCACTACCGCCGTCTTCGTATCATACCTCTACGACGGCCCGTGAGCCACTCGCAGGTAAAACAAACGAACAAGGAAAAGTAGCTAGTTCAAATAAGTCAAGTCAGACTCGGCGGGCCAATCGGAGAGACGCAGCGGTCCAAAGTGCGCCGTAATATCGCCGACTGTCCACCAATTAGAGGGGCCCCTACATTCATCATTAGCCGCCTTCGGCGCCCTCTTGTGGCGGGCGTCGACGAAAGACGGTCGCACGCCCGCCTTCCCGCCGCACGAGGACGGCAATTTATGAACCCTGTCTCGGACGCAGTAGTAGTAGTTCATGCGACTTGTGATTTGCGGGGAAAGAAACAGCATAAGACAGCCGCCAATTGTTAGGTTTTTTTTTTCTTCTTTCTTTTTTTTTTGCAGGAATTGTGTGTTTTACACGGTTGCCCAGCCACCAACCCTTTTTTTTTTGTCATGTTACTGTTTTGGCACGAGTGGCGAGGATTAAACGTTTCCTTTGAGGTTCTAAACTTGGCCCGTGCCGTTCGCAAACACGGACTAGAGGTTGTTTGTCGGTTTTCGCTACCGGACTAAACGTTGTCACGGATTAATTCCGGTCGTTATTACACAGAATGTGTACTGAAACTACGGTTTTCTAAAAAGAAAAAAAAATTATATGGCGCATATGGGCGGTTTCATTTGATTGGCCTCAAAAATAATATATTATAGTCCCATTTCTGCAATGAAGAAAGCAACTTTCTGAAATGTCTTAAAAAAATACTTTTCTCCGCCGAAATTCTGAAGGGTACCCAAAATTTTGAAGGGTACGTAACGGGATTGCGTAACGGCAGCGTATAACACAATAGCGTGTCATACGGTTTCCCCTCTAGATAGAACAGGGAAATGGAATTGGTGCACAATTACGCACCAACTTAGGTTTTATCCTCCCGCCGCTAAATTTAGTGGGGAAACTGAATTGCCGTCTAGTTATAACTCCAATCTAGATTTCCCTGCTGAAAAGAAAACGGCCCCGTCCCTAAATTTGGCGGGGCATTTAAATCGCCGCGTAGTTTTCCAGTAATTCGAAACCGAATTAACGAATCAACTCGACAAACACGCTGCGCGTGCCGTGTCACCTGATTTAATCCCCAGGATCGAGAGATTAATTTTGCTTACGTGATTCTCGTATTCGACGACGTGTCTCAATGCCACTAATGAATTATTCGACCGAAGCGGATTTTGATTTAGAACGTGGAAGGAAAAGAGAGGATGACGCGTTTGTGACGAATAAAAAGAAGAAAAAAGTTGGAATTATATATATATGTGTTTTTTTTTTTTTTTTTTTTTGCCATCCGTGCAAAAGGTAGTCTGATAAGACTCGACCTCGGTTTAGGCATGCGCAGGATTAGGGATTTTAATTTCATTACGCAGAGTAGACGGGTCGTCTGAAATCATGCTTATTTTTATAACGACATGCCAGACCACGTTAGTCCGTTTTAAAAGCATGCTTTTTAACGCTCCTGCCCAATCCCAAAATGTTGTCCGTCCGTCCGTCCTTCTATTTTCCGCCAAAATTAGCGGGGAAAGTGGCGTGACCCGTACACCTCGGAAAAATTTACGGTACGTCACCTATACCTCAACTCAGTTTTCCCGATAAATTTAGCGGGAAAACTCGCGACTTGTGGCCAAAAACATAATTTCAGTTTCCCCGCTAAGTTTAGCGGGGAATCGGTGTCACGTGACGTATACATCAATACGGTTACCCGCTAAATTCAGCGGGGTAATTGACGTCATGTGACCTATAGACACCAATCCGGGGCGCGCTGGTCAGGCGAAATGGCAAACGAAAGGAGGTTTTTTTTTTTTTTTTATGTCGTTCAGCACGCGAAACACTATAAAAGTTCTTGCACCGCAGCGTAAAATCGGTGTTACATATGAGAGCAAAGCAACTTTTCGACGGTAAAAGTTAACATTTTGTCTAATCGGTGCTTAGGAATGAGGCGGCGGAAGCATAAAAAAAATTACTAGAAACGATATTTGAATTTCTATCCTGTCTACGAGAATCAAGCACGAATGTCAGACGACGGAGTCGAGACGACCTCCTCTCTTGAGATTCTTGCCGTTGCCGCTACGCGGTGTCGACTTGGCTGCAGTCGACTTGGCTGCAGTCGCTAATGAAGCGCTTCGTTCTGAAGGCGGGACAGCGCTTTTGGTCTGCAGCGGTCTGCCTTTGGGGTTTTCCGGTTCAATCTGCACGCCGCAGCACACCGCCGCACAGCCTGTGCCAGCCAGGCCTGTATGACTCCTGCAGAAAGGACGGTCGCTTCCCGCAGTGCAGCCTTGGATCTAACATGACCGCCTTTGAAGGACCATTGCGACATTCTACTCCGCAAGCGGAGCATATACAGTTACTTAAGGAGAGAAATCGCGTTTGCGCCATCTATCCGTTAATCCTGCGTATACCTCCTGAACATAAACTGAAGTTCCTGCACTATTTGTGGGATCGAAACTACGCACTAGCTACGAGAATTTCGCGGACTCCTCTCCCGCTCAATTTGTCAGACGGTGTTCACGTGATGTCGTCGGTGTAACGGTCGTCAGGTGGCCTTCTTCGTGAACTTAGTGTGTTTCGTGTGCCCGTGTCGGCTTAATGGCTCGTCCGCGCTTGCCGCTGGTCGCCCCTCTTCCTTGCCCCCGACTCCCCAGGTTCTTCTACCTGTACCACTTTGCCTTCTACGCGTACGACTACCGCTTCAACGGACAGTACAGTGGACTGGCCCTGCTGACTTCATGGTTCTTCATTCAAGTGAGTGGCATCTGGTATCTGTCTCTTCGCTGCGAAGAATGGCAACGATATACAATATTACCCAGAATGTTTGTTTTTTGTTGAACATGTAATTTCTGTTCTCGTTGATTACCTTGATTTCCCCTTTGCCTCTACTGCCTCGTCCCAAAAACACACCTTATTGGTTTTAATAAACAAATAACCTAAACATTGTGTTGCATTGCTTCTCTTTAAAGGGAAGCTGAAACACTTTTTTTCAGATAGTGAGATAGAAATTCATTCTGGCGTAGTTTTACCCCGCGAATCTGAATATCACGTTCGTTTTCCCCGAAGATGTAGCGAAACGTGAGGAAACAAGAAAAACCTTCTCAGATCTGTCGTGACGTCATACTAGGATCTTGGGCCGCCAAGCGCGTGTCGCTCGTGTGGACAGCGCGTGCAATTGCAAGCTTGCCAGGTGTATTCCTCCGCACTTGCCGCTCATTCACACTGGAAGCGGATCCGCGTTCGCAAAGCGGTTGCGAACGCGGTTGTATAAAGATCCAGTAGAATTGCACGTGCACTGGATGACATCGAGTGCCTGTGCAATTGTACTGGATCTTTATACAACCGCGTTCGCAACCGCTTTGCGAACGCGGATCCGCTTCCAGTGTGAATGAGCGGTTACACCGGTCGTAACGACCTTTTTCTGACCTTTTTGAGAACAGACAGACTGTGCGTACATAGCTTTGATATGCGCTGAGGATGCCCGAGAGCGGAGATTCCGAAAAGTCCTTTTATGACGTCACGATCTGATAAGGAGGGGCTTTGAAAGTGATTTTCTTGTAGCCTTTATGCTCAAAAAAAAAAAAAAAAAAAAAAATCAGAAACAACAACAACAAATCTTGATCTGTGAGATCCTGGAGGCCAAATGAAGACGCTTTAAGTGTTTTCTCAAATACAAAACTGCTTCAGTTTTCTTTTAATCCTGGGTCAGTAGTCTGCTAGATCTTCTAGATCGGTTACATTGTTGACGAATTCACGCGATTGTGTGTTGACGTTGTTCTTTACCAACTTGTGTCTGAGAATATGGCTTAGCTGTCTTCCATTTGTGGTGGCTACAAAATGTTTTATTCCAGTTGTTTTATAGATGTTTGCTTTTGTACTCTGAAGGCCCGTTCTGACACTTGCGTTTGCTTCCGACCGAGTTCTTGGGACCTCTTGTGACGAGAGAGTACACTGGCGCCATCTATGAGGTGACCCTGGAGCCAAGTTTCACTAAAGTGAAGGTTATGTAGTAGTTTTCAGATCAAAGGGGTCTACAATCTACGAAAAATGGTCGTTTATAAAATTGCCAAAAGTTTTTCGAGAAAAAAAAATGATGCGCGATAAAAAGGAATAAGGAAATGCCAATAATGCTCGATAGATGTCGCCACAGTGTTTTCTCGTCCTGAGAGATCCTAAGAAGTTTTAAGGCACTCGGTAGAGAGCAGCCTCGAGTGTGTGGACCAGCCTTAATTGCGTTTGCAGATAATGTTTCTGTTGTAACTCAGATATGTTTCGTGAACTTTTTTTTTTTTTTAATTTATTTTGGCAATAATTCTTGATGGCGATTCAGGCTTCTTTGTAAATGAATAACGAAGGTCCAAACACATCTGATGAAACAGGGAGCGCAGAGTCTGTTTATGGTGCTGCGATAGTTCAGGCCGCTACGAAGTGTATAACTTCTTTCCGTAAACTTGTCTAGATCTTTTTTTGTCTTTTTTTTGTGTGTGTGTTTATTCGCTAAGTTAAGATTGCAGTATCGCTGTAGTATTGGCACGCGTTTTATGACGCTCAGTGGCGGAACGTACACTGGAATGCACTCGACCCTATGTTGTCTTGTCGGGCTTTTGTCTTTCCGCGAATCATTTCTTGTTTCATGCCGGAGCCACGATTTCGTGCTCGTCGTCTCGCTGATTAAAACGTCTCTGATGAAAGCCTTTCTCCGCGCTTGGGCCGACGTCGGTTCGTGACACGACCGTCAGTCTGTTTGTGCTCTTCGCTCGTCGTCTGCGCTCGGTTTCGTGCTCGGTTCGGCGCTCGGTCCGCTCTCGGTCGTTACTCGGTTCTCGTTCGTTTCGCGCTTGGTTGCTTGGCGCTCGGTCGGTGCTCGGTTCTCGCTCGGTCCTCCCTCGGTCCTCCCTCAGTCCTCCCTCGGTCCTCCCTCGGTCCTCCCTCGGTTCGCGCTCGGTCCGCGCTCGGCTCGCGCTCGGCCCGCGCCCGGTCCGCGTCGGGACTTTCCCCTGCGAAAGTATTTGTTCTTCGGCACTCATCCGCGCTCGATCGTGATTAGGGGTCGCATTTATAGGTGTCTCGCAGCTTAGATTGTACAAGGAAGCCTTTCTTTTTAATTACCAATATAAGACCGGCTTATATAAAAATAGTTAAATAAGCACGCATACTGCGTTCAGCGTACTTGCGACTTGCGACGGTTCCCTAAAACTCTCTACTGTCTGGGGCGTGTTTATCTCTCGTACGACGGTTCTGTCAAGAACTGTCCTGCGGACATGGTCGAGGCGTACGTGGGTACTACCGAGCAAACGTTCTTCGGACAAGCTTGACGCGTGTCTGCCGACAGTTTCCCTCATCGTGTCCGCTACGAACGCCGTGTCGTTTGTACGATCTAAGAACAGCGTGAATGCAGCTTAAGACGCCACAGGCGACCTCTTCTGGCGCGCGATGATTTTTTTCCTTCGAATCTTTAAATATCGCTAAACATACATAAAAAAGGGGAAAAAAACGCTTTATTGTTGGAGTTTACTGCTGGTTTTCAGTGTGCTCGCAGTATATATGTCGTCGGGCGTCGCCATATTCGAAATAAGCATAAAACAATGCAATAAAAAAGTTTTTTTTTTTAATTTTTTGAAATTTTTATTATTTTCGGGTTTTGGATTTCAGATATGAGAAATCAGGGGCGTTATGCGTTTGCAGCAGCCGTAAAAATATGTCTCATGAATAGAGTTGGCGTATAGAAAAGCAGCTTTCTGTATTTTCACATTTAGTGTTCTAGTAGTCCTTTGTCACATACCTTACTGCACGTGAACTTAGAGGAGGAGCCTAGTAAAAGAACAAAAACGGCACCGACTTTTTTTTAATTTTTGTTTTCACGTTTGCAGATAAACTTTAAAGGTTTTTTTTTGCGTTGCAAGTTTTGATTCTTATATGACCCATTTTGATGCGTTTGAGCCACTAAAAACAATGTATTTGTGATGTAATAATGTAAAATAATGCGTTTGAGCCACTAAAAATAATGTAGAGAAGAATAAAATGGTCTATTAGTATGACGAAGAGATTAACCGAGATGAATGATATTGAGTTGCTACAACATCAATTAGTGTGGTCAACCTCGACTTCATTGTGGCGCCCATACCACACTTCGGCGTTTCCCAGCCGGTGAACATGATAACTGAGAGGCTCGTTTTTGTGTCCGCCTTTCCACCGCAGCATTCCATGATATATTTCTTCCACCACTACGAGCTCCCGTCGATCCTCCAGCGGTCGGGGCTGGGCTCCCAAGAACAGCCCCGCTCCTCGGAGGAGGTTGGCTCGGAGCAGCAGCAGACGGCGGCCCAGGCCCAGCAGTCAGCCTCAGCCATGAACCAGCGGTCTTTTCACCAGCAGACCGTCCGGCTGAACGCGGGGGGCCAGAGCATCACGCTTCAGACCACCACGGCTGACGTGCCGCGGGTGGCCTTCATCCGTACCGTCTATATCGGAAACCTCCTCAGCGCTACGGCGACGCTGAGCACTACCGTTGTTCAGCAACAGAGTCAGAGTCAGCCTGCTGAGACGGCGGAGGAAGCCAGCGGCGTTCAGCCTTCGCCCGAGCCAGACTCCTGCACGAGTCTCCAAGAACAAGAGTCGAGTACTGTTGTCCAGGACGCTGAAGTCATCGGAGTCGACTCGTCGGCGGACAAAGACGAAGTGTCTGGCACGCCACTGCAAGACACTGAGGTCATCGGGACGTCTCTCTCCGAGGTCAAGGAGCGATTGTCCGCACCACCGGTCCAGGACGGTGGTGGGGTCATCGGGGCAGAGGCATCGGATGGAAAGGACGAGGCACACAAGCCGAGGAGCGTGCGATGCGATGTGTCCAGGATGGAGAAGTCTTCGGCGGACGGGGAGGACATCCGGCTACTGAGGGCTGTTCAAGACTCCGACAGGGATGCCGGCGAAGAGTCAGTCGCCGCGGCAGACTGTTCGGGAAACTGGCCGGAGGGTCAGAAGGAGAGGACGGACTTTGTTGTGTCTTCCGGTGACTCGACGGCCGAGGCCGCGTCCCGAGCCAAGACGAGTGAGAGTCAGAGTGGAGCTTCGGGTCATCGAGTTTAGTCAGGTGTTGCGATAAGCCGGACCTCTTTTGGAGGTGCAACCCCCACTCCTCCCCCCCCCCCCCCCCCCCCCCCGCCGACTGACTACCTTGGGGTTGGGGTGTTTTTTTTTTTTTTTCTTTGCTGGGGTGCATAATTTTCTGCTCGTCCCTCGCAGCACTTGGATACAGCGATGGACTGTCTTCGCAGCTTTTCTGAAACTGTGTTGTGGGAAGAAAAAAAAAGTGTCTTAAGATTTCAGACGCCTCAGTGGGTCTCAATTTGAGGAGGCAGTTTTTCTCCTGCCAACTCCAGTCGTGTGCACGGGAGGAGGATTTGTTTTTGGGAGGATTTATTTATTGATGCGAGATCACATCGGACCGTGTTTATTGGGGTGGTTAAGTTTGGCTCTCAGTAGGCCTTTTAGGGAGGGCCGCGCGCTCCTTTGTCGTTTCTTTTAATTTCTTTTATTTTTTTTTGTAGTGGCGTGTTTGAAAAGTCGTTGCGACAATGTCATGAGTGCCTGGTGGGTGGACGCTGACGAAAAGCCTCGTCGTATTTATGTGAAGGTTGGTCTTTGAAACGTCGAGACGGTGGTTGCTTGCGCAGCAGGAGCCTGTCTCCTTCTTCCTTGTTTTCCCCTCAGTGTTTCACTGAGCGGCGAGTATTTGCCGTGGTCGACCTCTTAGTTGAATAAAGACTGTTCAGAAGTGTTTCCGACGGATTGTATGTGCGGGAACCATGAGACGGAGTTTAGCGGTCATATACTAGGGCGGTTTCACGAAACGCTTTTTCACTTCGGGTTTTGTTTGGAGTCGCCCCGTCGGCGTCTACCGGGGTAATTTTCACGTCCGACGGATTCGAGTTCTCAATCGCCGGCTCGTCAAACGAAGAACGGTATGTACAAAACCCGAGTATCAGCCGATGCTCCTTTATGTTCCCTACTACTCTGGCAGGCGCAGTCGATCACGATGCGAAAGAACTCGAGCGAGCAGGAAAACACTGCCTCCGCGCATAAAAAGAAGTGGCACGAAAATTCACCAACATGGCGTCCGCGGCGAGAGTTGGAACCGGAAATACATCACGTGCAAACCTCCCTATACACCGACTCGTGTTTACAAACAAACCGGAGCCCACCGTCGCCGCGCATGCGTGATGCAGTGTGGGCAAGACGCGCCCCGTGTCCCATCAACTGACCATTGGAATGAGGTCTCGGCGTCGGGCTAGGTCCCGCGTTCTCTTTTTCGCCTTGGAATTGTTGATTTTACTTATAATGCAATTAAATGCAAAGGTGCAAGCGAGCTGGACAAGAATTACGAAAGTAATCCCTGGAGAAGGGGAACAAGAGGGACAAAGGACAAACATGAATCTCCAAACACAGCTAGGTGGCTGGTGAGCGACCGAAAAAATCCGCCTGGTCCGGGTATCGAACCCGGGACCTCTCCATTACAGGTGGTGCGCTCTACCAACTGAGCTAACCAGGGGTTAGACGTCAGTAGAGCAAACGGGTTTTATCAGTTGCCACCAGTCTAACACCAACAAGGGTGAAGCCTGCAAGTTAAGGTTGTAATTATAATGCAATTAAATGCAAAGGTGCAAGCGAGCTGGACAAGAATGATGAAAATAATCCGTAGAGAAGGGGAACAAAAACCCGGACCAGGCGGATTTTTTCGGTCGCTCAGCAGTCACCTAGCTGTGTTTGGAGATTTATGTTTGTCCTTTGTGCCTCTTGTTCCCCTTCTCCAGGGATTATTTTCATCATGATTTTACATGATGCAATTTCAATGCAACAGCAATTTCTGACTATGAGGCCTCAGCGAAATTAACGAGGGTCGTTAAACCTCGAAACTTGGCGTGAATCATGACATGCGGCGATTCATTTCGCGTGGACGCCGCAAAATAGACGCTAAAGCCTGATGGGATTCTGCTCACCATTTTCAGTCCCGACGTCGCTCGGGCTGCAAAAAAGAGGCGTTGACGGTAGCAGCGATGCTCGACGTCGGTACTGGAAATCGCAAGCAGAATTGGCCCTAGTGAATCGGGCATAACAAGTCGGTGATGGCCACCGGTTACAATGATCAACATCCCCTTGTATCTGTTGTTTACACCGAGCCTACTTACCCCAAACAACCTTCAACCTTAAAATCTTTCCTATCGCAGCTTCCGCGTCTACGTGTGGTCTACGAGCCGTTGTCGATTGAACGAGCAGACGGTCGTTTGAACGTGAAGACTCGCTGCACGTGGTCCGCGGGTGGTCTGGACAACTTGACGGTTTTCCTGCGTTCTAGTTGGAACCGAAGAAATATATATGGCGATCACAAATCCCAGTGAATTTAGCTCAGTGCTTTCCGCACAAGCAATCGTGGTCTGACGGCGTCTGGTTTTGCCTTTTGTCGGCACGTATCCACGTTTTCGGACGAACCGGAGAGGCAGAAAACGGGGAGAAAACGACCTTGACATCTTTCCTGCTGCTTTTGGTGCAGCCCCTTTCGCAGCGTTTTGACGAGGAGGGAGGCTTTAGTCTGCTTTCTTCCAAAACCACACAGCCGTGAGTCGGCGCTTTTCATCATAAGGGATATGCGTGCCAAACGAACGAACGGCATCTGGAAACCAAGAGAGACGGCAAGACCTACACGGTAACACTGGATCAGTAACTACCTGTGCATGTACGAACAAAATAAATTGAAGGCCACGTGGTTTATTCCGATTTTAAATAAGTAAATACAGCTTTATTCTTTCTGCTCTGTGTGAAGGTGCTTGTTCTACGTTCAGAACATCACCCACACGCTCGAAATCTTTTGAGAACAAGCGCCCGATAAAAGCTGCCCGCAGAGAAAACAATAAAAAGCTAACACCTTTCATGTACTTTATTCTTTACGTTTTGAATGTTTTTATCCGCTCATCAAGTCGCACGATTTGGTCATTTTCGTATAGTGACAGAACTGGCATGTTAGCAATATATAAGCATCACCGGAATGTTGGCGAACCTTGAACACACACTATATTTCTTCCGATTGTTATTTTGCTTTGAATCGGTTGTTTTTACACACCGGCTGCGGAACACAGGTTTGGGCCTGAAATATAGCGAAGTTAAACATCGTTCTCTGATGAAGAAAAATGGGCCAACTAAAGAAATTCCACTTTTACAAGGTTAATAAAGGTACATACTATTCGGTACGACCCGAAAAACAAAAGTGTTCCATGTTATTTTCCGGCGAAGAGACAAAATGCACATGCACAGGAGCACCGCATAAGTCAACGAAGTAGGGGGCCTTAGAGCGATGAACTGGCAGCTGAAAGTGACTCCTAATGGCCGCCGCAATGTTGCACATTTTTGACCACCAGACACGTTACCTTATAGTTTTACGTCCAGATTTTAACGAAGTACCGCGCACAAATAATTGCTTATTGATCTTTCATAACAGTACCGACGAGATAAGTTACGCTTCGTTTGTTTTAAGTCCGAAATGTGCTTTTGCGACAAAAACTCGGGCAGCTTCGCAATGCCTCCGCTAGATGTCGTCAGCCGCGGTGCTGCATTTTTTTTTTATCGGAGCTAGACACTGATCTCTAGGGCTAACAGTATCGAAAAATAATTTATCGTGTTTTTACAGCGATCGCAGTACAAATCTCGACCCAGTTTTTCATAAAAGTTTGAGTATTTGGTGCGGTCACGTGTCTAGTGGTCAAAAGTGTACAACATGGCACCGGCCAAGTGGGAGTCACTTTTTGCCTGGTGAACGGGATACCATTTTATCACTCTGAGCCCCTCTACCTCGTCGGCTAAAGAAGGCAATGATGATGATGATGATGATTAACTTTATTTTGAAAAGGGTGGCACCATGGCCTCGTTGGGGGAAGGGGAACATAGGTAGGAAAGGTTTACATTCGGCGGTGCACCCCTGCCGAGCGCGTGAACTCCCATAGGGAGAGTAGCGTCTCCCTGTCCGGTCCCCTACAAACCAACAAATCCCTAAACGCCTTCATGAACGCGTTTAGGGATTTGTAGGTTTTAACTCGTTTTCAGGTATACGGACCAAACTAGGCAACTAGGTAGTCCTGAAGTTAGGCCCAGGAGCCCACGATGGATTCGGAAGATTTGTCATTTCTTTAAAGGAAAATGTGCTCCCTCGTTTCACCCAAGCGATCGGGAAGGTATGCGGATCCCGTGTAAGTAAATTCGAAGAGGTACTGCAGTTAGTCGGTGGTGGTGAAACTTTTAAAGTACTCGCTACTCGCTGCGGGTCGTGCCGCTTCGAGGCAAAAAGCGCCGGCCTAGGGATCCCCAGGTGGCGGGTTCGGATCCCGACCGAGGTGCCCGCAATCTGACGGAGTCTTATTGAGGAGAAGGCGCTGTGTAACCGAGCCTTCGGTTGCACGGTCCAAATTAATCTTCAGCTGGAGGGAGTGCCATATGCCCGTCATTGGTTTGGCACGTAAAACCCCCCAATTTGACTCGCTGCGGGCCGTCAAAAACAACCAAAAACAATAGCCAAACGGAAGTAACATGCTTCCCCCGGAAATTCCGCCATTATTTTTTTGTTTTTTTACCTCCGGTCTCCCTGTGTTCTTGATCCTTGCTGGCACGTTCGCATCGCCATACATACGGCACGGCTGCAAGATGGTCATCGCACGCGTCCGACCGAAATGTCTCGCTCCTGAAAGGTGAGTCTGAAGTCATATTCTCGTTGCATTGCGGTTTAGGCAAGGGACGTCGCGAACGTTTTTTCGAGCATCGACTGGTTCGCCGAAACCTTTGAACTTTGGGCGGAATTCGACTAAAGTGCGGTTTTGAATAGTGTTGCCTAGCTCTGCAAAACAATTTCATAATAGCAGTGTATCTGAAAATTTGGTAAATTATTACCGATGTTCGCAAGCTCATATACTCGCACATATATGTATGCTCGGAACCGGTCTGCAGACTGTCTTTTGTACGCTACATTAGCTTTGCGACCGCACCTTGAAGGGCTGTGGGCTACCCAGTGGACGCTCGCCTTCCACAAGTGGCGAGAATCGTATAATTACATTTAATTTTGAAGCGTCAACTTTATCGCGAGGACCCTGCGTGGACCTTTGCTTGCTCGTGTTGGCGTTGGTCGCACCGCAAGCAAGGTCATGAGAGAGAGAGAGATAAAGACAGACAGACAGAGAGTTGGCAACCGAGCACAGCTGGTGGTTTCTGACGTCATAGGGCGCTCGACCAATGACGCCGCGCGGAGGAGGCTATACGTCATCACAGTCGGATGGCGCCGACTCAACAGCTGGATCCGAGCTCGATGCAGAGCGTCCTTCGACGCTTTGATTGGACGCGAGGCCCAGCCGAGCAGTGACGTAGCACTCGTATCCAATGTGATGACGTCACTGTGATGACGTCAAAAGCCTAGTGTGCGCATGCTTTGGTTGTTCCACGTGGTGTTGGGCTATGTAGGCGGCGCTCTAGCGGTCCCCTCCGCAGCTTATGGGAACTGCTGTTGCGTAGTAGGAACGCGCGTATTAGTGCTATGGGGGGTTTTCACGTGACGTCAATTCGCCATTTCGTTGTTAGTGTCGGCGCTATAAGGTCCATGTAGGCCTATGCGTGTGGACTACGGAATCGACAGTGTCGGGTGCATCTTTTATAATGCTTGCTTTCGGCACGCGCGACAGCTGATAGCCGGAAAATGGTGGGCATAACGACGTTCATGAAAACGCCCTATTGAACCTTCGTCGCATTTG